AATTAGAAAGTAAAAAAAAAAAAACAGAACAAAACAAAAAACCTTACCGGCCATGGCTTTTCTCCCTCAGCCTTGGTGTGCTATCTGAAACTGAAAGCCTGTTCCACCTTCCTTTTCTGCAGGGCGTGTCGCATATTAGGAAACACCAACTGCTCATTCATATGCATGCCTTTATTTCTCCTTCAAACTAATAATCGGATTGCTTAACCTTAGTGCATCAGGGTGTCCATCCTTGGGAAATGCCCTCCCCTTGGACCAGGCTGGGGCAGGAAGGAAGAGGAGCCTAGAGAATAAGAAAGGAATAGGTGTGCACACAATTAAACTCACACCGTAATGAAACTCCCACTAATTAGGAAGTGCCATCTGGAAGAGCAATGCGTCCTTTGGTGTCTTTGTCCACTCACGGTGTTGTAACAAAATAGCAGCTTAGAAACAAGACTGGGCAGCTTAGAAACGAGGAATCTATTCCTCACAGTTCTGCGGTCTGGAAGCTCAGGCTGGGTGCCAGCACGGCTGGATGGTGCTGAAGGCCCTTTTCTGAGTTGCAGGCTGCTGACTTCTCGCCATGCCTCACACGGCAGAAAGGGTGAGATATCTCTCTGGAGTCTCTGTTATAAGGGCATGAATCCCATTCGTGAGGCTTCTGCCCTCATGATCAGTTCAACTGCCAAAGGCCTCAACTCCTACTATGTCATTTTGGGTATTAGGTTTTCAACATATGAATATTGGAGGGACACATACATTCAATCTATAGCATTTGGAGAAGTTGAGCCATTATGATCCATGCCATGCCTCCATCCTGTAGTTCTGGACTGTGTCCTAGGAACTATGCTTTTCTGAGAAGCAGTTCTGCTGTTAGGAATGGAAATATTTTCCACCAGAATCAAATATATACATATATTTTTTTAATTTATCTTTATTGTTGAAAGTATTATAAATGTCCCCCTTTTCCCCCCATTGATCCTCTCTGCCCTGTACCCCTCCCCCCATGGGTTATGCATATATGCATATAAGTTCTTAGGTTAATCTCTCCCCATCCACTCCCCCTCCCCACCTTCCCTCCTAGAATCCTCAGTCTGTTCCATGCTTCTATGTCTCTGGATCTATTTTGTTCATCAGTTTATTTTGTTCATTAGAGTCCACATATGAGTGAGGTCATGTGATACTTGTCTTTCTCTGACAGGCTTATTTTGCTTAGCCCCCACCATGCTGTCCCAAACAGTAAGGGATCCTTCGTTTATACAGCTGCATAATATTCCATAGTGGAAATGTCTGAGAATCAAATATTTTCTTATCTAACACTTTGTCTTTTCAGATGATTCTGTTTTGTGGGATAATGTAGAGACTAAGAGCTCAGGTCCTGAACTCAGAAAGTCTGACTTAGCACCTTAACTTTTCTTTCTTGGGCAAGGTATTGAACTTTCCCATGCTTTGGTTCCTCTATTTGTGAAATAATCTAATTAATGGTATATACGTACATACTTTTGAGTGAATGAAAATGTGGAAACTGCATAGAACATTGCCAAGCACATTGTAAGCATACAATGTTATTATTTGTTATTACTATTATTTTTAATTTAAATATTTCTAAATTAAATAATTAGCCATGGATAGTTATTTGCAGATTATCTAGCTAATTTTTTCTTTTGTGAGAATCCTCGTGAGTTTCATTCATTCATTCACTTAGCAAATATATATGAATGACCTACTTCATGTTAGACATTGTTTTAGGTTCCAAAGATTCAGCCAAAACAGACAATGGCCCTTTGTCCTCACAGCCTCACATTCAAGGACAGAGGACAAACTTGAAACTCAATGTGTGAATGGGATAATGTTAGAGGGCAGTGAGTGCTAAGGGGAAGAAATGAATTGGGAAAGTGGTTTATGAAATATTGGAGGATGTTAAAAATTGAAGACAGAGGAGCCCAGGAAGGCCTAAAGAAGTCACTGCTTTTCATAAGCACATGTTCAATTGCTTGTCCCAAATAAACTCAACATAACCAATGTATTTTACAGATATGGTTGATCAAAGATGGACTAATAACAAAATGTCTATTAGTCTTTCAAAGTTATCAATATATTTACTAAAAATACTCGTGGGATTATTACTTTGGTTTCTTGAGAATAACAACCCAGATTTACTAAAACATTCAGTGCGCGTGTGTGTGTGTATCCAAACATGCAGGAAATATCTAAATTAAATGTTAATAGCGGTAATGCAATTGTTTTCAAACTCTATACTATTAAAAACAAATTTACATTTCACACAGTTTCTAGCTGTGCTCTAGGCTAAGTGTTAAATTTATTTTTTAATTAGAATAAAATTCACTGTGTAGATTTTAATCTAAGGCTTTTCTCGGGGTGTTTTTATTTTTACTTTGCTACTTACCCAATCCGGTTTTCAGCACAGTCTGTGATCCTTGGCACAGGGACACTTGTTGTAGGGAGGGAAGCAGAACTTGCATGTATATTGCTTCCCTTATACATTCGTATTTATTCATTTATTTCTGAAATGCCTTAAGGATTTTACATGAAGGTTTCTCTACAAGCCAGGGCCACACACCACTGAGTGGAAACATGCTGAAGTGACATCTGAGTCACAGAGAGGATGGCCAGGCTGCCTGGGGATTTTGAACCATAAGCATTGATCCTGGGAAGCTAAGTATATAGCAAGAGCTCACTGTGTCCTTAAAAATGAAGGTACTAAAAACTGGAAACATTCCAAATATCTTTTATAGGTGCATGCATGAGTAAACAAATTGCGTTAAATATGTATATTGGGATACTACTCAGCAATAAAAAAGGAGCAAATTACTGATACAGGTAATAACCTGATGAAAACATTGTGCTTGTATTATGAGTGAAAGAGGCCATGTACAATAGAATGCATACCTTATGATTCCAACTATATAAAGTTCTAGAATAGAAAAAAATAATGTATTTTGGTAGAAATCAGGTCACTCTTTCCCTTAGGGTGAAGTGGAGAGAAAATGAATACAAAGGGGATGAGGGGACTTTTCTGCATCTTGATGGTGTTATTCTACATCATACATTTATCAAAAATACTCCTTAAAAGGAGTATTTAAGTTATGTAAATTATACCATAATAAGTTAAATCGCAAAAACTAAAATCAATGGTTGTAATGATAGACTGGATTGGAAAGGAATTTCTGTCTTTGTTTTTATGAATATACTCAAGCCTCAACAAATCAGTTGAAACTCTGGTAAGAGAGAGTTGGTTTTTTGTGTGTGTTTTTTATATATATCTTTATTGATTTCAGAGAGAGGGCAGCAGAGGGAGAGAGAGATAGAAACACCAATGATGAGAGAGTCATTGGGATGGAGCCCGCAACCCGGGCATGTGCCCTGACCGGGAATCCAGCCCAGATCGCCTGGATCCTAGGTCGACGCTCAACCCCTGAGCCACGCCCGGCCGGGCGAGAAAGAGTTTTCTGTAGTGACTAAAATTGAGCTACCTACAGTTAGATGGAGATTTGTAGACAGAATGGAAATAAATTTTAGAAATGATAAATTTATCAACTCTGATATGTACCTAGAAATAGTATTACATAGACAGACTATTACATAGATAAAATCATCATAAAATAAATTAATGGAGGAGTTAAATTACAAGCAGCCTTTTAAAGGCAGCATACTGACTTAAAAATCCTCATGTCAGAATTGCCTGTGATAGCCCGTAAAAGGCGAAAGACCCCTGTGCTGGTGTTCTGGTTTTGCCATTTTCAACCCTTAGAAAGCCACTTACACTCTCAGTTTTTTAATCTCTTATTCTTCTTCATTAGTTTGTGGCTGTTAGGACATTGTGATTAATAAATATTAGTAAGAGTACTAACCATTGCATGTTATTTTATTTTTCCTTTGTCTAAAACCCTCTCTTTTGTACAGTTTGTCAACATGGACTTTGAGATCCGATAGCCTTGGGATCAACTTCCAGTCATTACCTGTATACCTTGAATATTTTATATAAGGTCTCTGTGCTTCCGTTTTCTTTCCTGTATGTGTACGTGTGCTTGCAGACTGGGTGGGGACTCATAACTGTCCTTACTTTCTAGGATGGAATGGTATAGGTAAGGACCACGTCATAGTGCCTTCTGTCTATAGTACTCATGAGCCATATTTCAGAAACCAAGAATGTAAAAATATACTTCCTTGTGAAGTGCTTCTAAATTTTTCACATGCTTTATTGCATAACCTGTCATGACAATTATGTAAGTTAAAAGGGTTAAATAAATGTTGATTCCATTTTATGAATAAGAAGACCAGGTAAAAAGGTTGGTTCAGAAGCTTGGCAAACACAGATTGCAGAACTTGGGTGAGAAGTGTGCTCTCCTCCTCATTTAATACAGTCATATGCCACACAACGATGCTTTGGTTAACAACAGACCACATATAGGATGATGGTCCTAGATGATTAAGATGGAGCTGAATTTCCTATAAGAAATGGAAGGATATGTGGTTCAGGAGGAATTTTTTTTCTTTTTTAAATTATAGTTTATGTACAATATTATATTAGTTTCAGGTGTACATCCCAAGTAGAAAGATTCTATTCTTTTTTTATGGCTGAATTGTATTCCATCGTATATCTGCACCACTTCTTCTTTATCCATTTATCTATTGCTGGACACTTAGGTTGCTTCTGTACTTTGGTTATTGTAAATAATACTGCAATAACATATGGATGTATATGTCTTTTTGACTTAGTGTTTTGAGTTTCTTCAGGTAAACCCCCAGAAGTGGAATTGCTGGGTCCTTCTCTGTCTCTTGCTATAGCCTTTGTTTTAAAGTCTATTTTGTCTGGTATAAGTATTACTTCCTCAGCTTTTCTTTTTAGTTCCCATTTTTATGAACTATCTTATTCCATTCCCAAACTTACAATCTGTGTGTGTCTTTCAATCTGAAGTGAGTCTCTTANTTTTAGTTCCCATTTTTATGAACTATCTTATTCCATTCCCAAACTTACAATCTGTGTGTGTCTTTCAATCTGAAGTGAGCCTCTTGTAGAAAGCATATGTAATGGTCTTGTTTTGTTATCT